TAATAATAATAACAACAACAACAACAACAATAATAATAATAATATACATAGCAATGACCTTGGGGTACCATAATCAAAACCAGCCAGTGGATGCTTGTAGGATGGCTAGAACTCCCACTTCGATAGTTTATAGAAGTTGAGTGATTGTAATTGGGACATAAATAATTCATTAAAAGAAGAGTACAACTCTTTTTTGCCCATTCCTTATAAACAATTGGTGATTTTTTGGACAATGGATCTCTTTGGAATCAAACTTTTCAGGATGTTTTAGCTGAGCAAAATATAAAAAAATAGGCAAAAATAAAAATAGAAGATAAAACTGAAATTGGAGTTTAAAATTGGAGTTGGAAAAAATAAGTAACATTAGTTTCAGAGAACTCTAAAAACTGCATTTTTTCTTGATACTTCTGCAACCCATCTCTGGCTAGGGCTCTGAACAGCAAGCCAGTTACAATGTAGCTCTGAATTGTAGTTAGTTACAGTATGCCAAATTTAATGATTTCTAAATTCTCCTCAAATGCAAAAATGATTAGCCGGTAATGGTAATGGATGTGAATGTTTCCAGTGTTCTACTATTTTCCTGTCAGTGGTTGTTCAGGTCTTAGGAAATATTTTTCCTTCATCTAAATACTGGTTTATCTAGATAGAGATTCCAGGGATTCATCCCAATGCTCAACCACTGAGCTGTGGTCCCACTTCAGTAGAGATTTACAGTGTAACAGCTACAGTCTCTTTTGAAGATGTCCACCTATTATAAGGATTAAAGGATTAAAACCAATATCTTTAATATTTGAGCAAATGGTTACTGTAAGTTAAAGTTACAGTAATTGCTCAATAGGTTGGTTGGTTATCTTGTTTTCCAACATTTCAGAGCTTTTGAAGTTGAATTTCAGTTCCCAGATGATGAAGGGAATGAAACATCTTCCCATCGGGTGGATGGCCTGGCCTTTTTGAATGAAGACATTGTGGGTAAGAAATAAACATTCAGATATGTCTAAAAAAGTATCATTTTCATACATATTAGAGTGTTTTTCTTTTTCTTCCTTTTTTTGCATGCTCAATTCTCACAAAGAACCTGTCCCAGGCAAAACAGCAACACATATTCTCAGAATATCTTTTGGGTTAACATTCACATTTAGAGAATGGGGTGGAAGAGGATGGAATGGAAAAGCTAAGAGATTAGTATTCCCTCACAGCTGCTGACCTTGAGCGTAAGAGCAGAATGCTGACTCCCTCCTCATCTACACTTACAAAGAGGAACAATAGATAAGGGAAATGTTACAGTTCTGCATTACTTCAGTCTATTTTTCCAGAAAGAATAAGGAGGCTTTGTCCAAACAAGGCCTGCATGGAGTTTTTTTCAGGCTGTTTCATGCTTAGTCCAGACAGAAAATTCTAATGCCCCTACTATCCATTAAAACTCTTCCATTTTGATACGTTTTAATTTAGAATAATAAATGATACCTGACAAGAACTTATTCATTATTTTATGTTATATGCACTTTGGACCAAATCCCACTGAATTCAATTAACTTACTTAATTGTAAGGAGGGATTGTATAGGATGTGTTGTAGGTTATGAGCTTATAGGTATAGCTGTATTATTAGTGGCCTTATTTTTAGTTTAAGATTGCACCATAATTGCCAGAAAGTAGATGTTGGGATGCCACTGATACCATGCACCTGTACAGAACCTGTACAGAGCCTGCCATGATAATTGCCTTAATAACCATTGCCTTAACCAGTAACCAGTATAGGAAGAAATGCTATCTGGCAGTAAACCCACTGTTTAGTAAGGTTACTGTTTTTTTTTTCCTCTTCAGTTACCAAGAGTTCAAAGAGAGCATCTATAAACCTCTGGAGCTGGAGTCGCTCTTTCAAACAAGGCAAAGGAGGGCGGAGGACAGTGCAGGCTGTCATTCTGGCTGAACTGGAGTGGTCTTCAACTGATCTCCCTTACCTCACTCTCAGCACATGCCCAAGTAAATGCTGGTATCATATTTGAACAGCCATAGATACTGTTGCTCCTGTTTTCCCATCAGATAAGCTTGACCAGTGGGGCTGGCAATTCGGTAAAGCTTGTAAGTAGTAACAAATGGCCATCAATGTCTTATATTGTATGGAATGCAGTAGCCCCATGGGGTTAATACGGGGTTACCTTTGGGACAGTAGAAGATGTTAGCTCCCCAGTTTCAAACCCCAACATGCCAGGACTCCAGACAAACATTGGGGGCGAGGTGGAGTAAGGATATCGTTGGTAGGTGGTTTGTATGATGGTGAGTGAACTGAGAAGGAGCCCCTAAGAAGATGAGCTTCAGATGTGGAATTGAAGCCTGGTCTAGAAGCATTTGAACAATGCAATTTGATGTTACTTGTGTTACTCTTGCAGCAGAAGAATATGTGTTCTGTGGTGATGAGAAAGGAAGCGTCTGGATGTATGACCTCAGCAACCATTTGTCAGCTCTCTGTGCCACCAAGGAAGATTGTTCAACTGAGAGAATAGGGCCTTCCCAGGTACTCAAGAATGTAGAGTATAGGTCCTAATCACAGTGGTCCAATGTTGGTTGATTGAGTTGCAATAACAAACAAGTATTTTCATTTATTTATTGGATTTGAGGCCGCCCAACTCCAAAATGCTCTGGGCAGCTTACAATTTTTAAAAGAATGCATACAGGTAGTCCTCGACTTACAACGGCAATTGGGACCAGTATTTCTGTCGCTAAGTGATGTGGTCATAAAGTGTGAAGGCATTGCTTAGTGACAGCAATCCCTGCAGTCCTGGTTGCCATTGTTAACCGAATCCCACTGTTGTTAGGCGAGGCAACTTCCTGCTGGCTTCCCACAACCAAGTCAGTAGGGAAGCCGGTAGGAAGTTGTAAGTCCCAAGCAGCTCACAAGCAGGCCAGCAGGCAGGTAAGTGGCTGCTGCGAGGTGGGAAAGAGAGCAGGGGGTGTGCAAAGATGCAAGGGAGGTGTGGCGAGAGTCAGGGAAGGTATGTGAGGGAGGTGTGGCAAGGCTTGGCGAGGGTGCACAGGGGTGTGCGAGTGGCTGGTGCAGTGTGAGTGCAGAGGGGCTGGGGGAGGGTCCATGGGTGGGGGAGACTTACCCGAGCAATTTGCAATCTTCCCTGCCAGCTTCCCCATTGACTTTCTGGAGAAGCTGGCAGGGAAGGTCGCAAATGGTAATCACATGATCATGGGGCACTGTAACAGGTCATAAGTGCAAGCTGGTTGCCAAGTGCCCAGAGCCTGATCATGTGACTGCAGGAACGCTGGGACAGCTGGAACTCCAACCACCAAAAGGTTCAGCGCTGTCGTAACTTTGAATGGTTGCTGAACTGATGTAAGTCGGGGACTACCTGTAATTTAAAAGAGGAACATGACCTCCTGAACAAAACCACATGAATAACATCCAAAAAATCACCAAGGACTCCACAAACAACCTAACCCCAGGCCTGGGTACAGAGCCAGGTCTTAAGAAACTTGCAGAACATTTGAAGGACAAGAGCCATACATAACTCTGGGGGAATGTTTTTCCAGAGGGTGGGTGCCAAGATAGAGAAGTTATACTTCCTCAGTCCCACAAGATGACAGCATTTAACCAAAGAGATCTGGAGCACACCCATTCTGCCCAGTCATACCAGACAGGCAGAAAAAATTGGAGACGGGCTCCCTCAGCTATCCAAGCCATATGCCATGAAGGCCATTATTGGTGATGATCATCACCTTGAATTGCACCCAGAAGCCACCTGGTAACCAATGCAGCTTGCGAAGCAGCAATAACATGTGGACATAGCAAGAAGTGCCCATTATGGCCCACACTGCTGGATTTTGAACTAGCTGTAGCTCCTAGATGGTTTTCAAGGGCAGCCCCATGCACACTGCATTGCAGTACTCCAGTTGTGAGGTGACTAGAGCATAAGTGATCATCTGAAGGGCGTCTGAAAAAGGTGCAACTGGAGCATAAGATGTACCATGTAAAAACCCTTCCAGCCACAGCTGCCACTTGCTCTTCAAGCAGTAGCTGCAAGTCCAGGAGGACCCCCCAATTCCATACTACTTGAATGGGAAAATGCAACCCCATCCAAGGCTAAAGGTAAAAGTGTCCCAGATCTAGGGGCCCCAAACAGCCACAGCCACTCAGTTTTGTCAGGATTGAGCCTGTTCCTCCCCATCCAGATCTGAACAGCTTTCAAACACTGGCCCAGTACGTTGACAATTTCACCTGCACAACCAGGGGTTGACATGTACAATTGGGTATCATCGGCATACTGATGATACTAGGCCCTGAATTGACAGGGAACTCAGAGCAGCTGGTTCCTCCTAAGGCCCTCAGCCCCTGCCAGCTGGTGTGCTCCTGGCCCTTTGCAGCTATGAGGCGCTCGGTTCCATAAGGGAGCTTCTGCAGCCAGGCTATAGACTGCCACCCCCAGTCCCCCTGTATCTTCTGGCCCAAACTACTGGGCTGCTGACAAAGGCTCAAGCCCCCTGGGCCTGAGGGAGGGGACTTGACAGGGTGATGCCTCCAAACCCAGCCCCAGGGCAGCAAGTTGGAATTGCTGGAGCCCTCCTAAAGATAAAGAAAGCCACTAGCTTGACTAAGTGGCCAGCTCAGTGCTCCTACCAGCACCCTGGCTCGCTTCTGCTCCTGGTCAGGGCACCACCCCCAGCACTTCAGCTTCAAACCAAAGGCACCCCAAGAGATGGTAGTTATCCTGCCTCCACCAAAGGCCCAGGGGAGCTCAAGACGGCTCACTGCCAAGTCCATATCAATATAGGTAGGTAGTGCATTTAATGTATTCCACGAAATGGTTACATTATTTGAATTCGCACTATTCAAAGTGATATTTCTATGGGAAATGGGGTAATGGTTCCAGCTCGAGGGAAATAGACAATGAAAATTTTTAAACATAAATGTTTATATGTATATTAATCAGATATTACAGTAAAGGATAAAAAATATATACTTAGAATTTAAATTTATGTTTAACAAGGTCACAGAGCAGTTATAGAAAGCAAAATAAAAACAAAAACATTCTACCGTAGATTCAGGCATTCCAACATCTCATCCTATTTTAGCGTTGCTATGACCAAGTTCATGTCATTCAATTGCATCAAAATTTTTGCTCTAATGTAATAACAAGCTTCTTCTTTTTTAAACTTGTACTGTTTTCCTCTGACGGAATCGTCCTTTTCTCCATTTTGCACACACGGAGATTAGCGGTGTCTAAAACCCCAACCGCTACTACACACGTGTATGTGCTAGCCTCAATTGCACACGCGCTAGCCTCACATTAACTGAACTCTGTGTCGCATTAAACATAACCTGGTATCAATTTACAGTTTGCACTAAATTGAATATTGCACTATTCAAATATCACACTAATTGCACCCTACCTGTATCAATAGCAGCCCTTGTCTCTTTAGCCACCAGTCCTATCATGCAGGTCTCGCCAGCCACTGGTCTTGCCACACTGAAATCAGCATTATCTAACAGGTACACTGCCACACTGAAATCAGCAACATTTATCTAAATGTAGTACAGGGTGCTGTACTACCTTTAGCTGAAAGAGTGATAATCCCTTAAACTTAAAAAACTCCCCCTCACCCTCAGAAAGAAAATTAGAAAAAGAACTCATTCCCTGCAGAGTTTCTTCCCATGAATTAGAGGGAGGGACGTGAGATCTCCGCACAGGAGGATATGCTTCAGCTTCAATCTAGAACAGTTTGTCAACCTTAGCAACTTTAAGATGTGTGGACTTCAACTCCCAGAATTCCCCAGCCAGCATACTGAGCTTGACAAACGCTGATCTAGAAGATGGTGCCCACCCATGTAAATTTGCCAGGATTCATATAATTAGAGAAGACTCTTTGTTTTTGACAAACATCAATTGCAATTTCAAATAAAATGTTTAAAAGGCAGGGATAAAAAGGTCCAAAAAGATAAGCTTCAGAAGTAGAAATCTGAAGGTTGAGACTCAGAACCAAATAGCAGTATAGTAATCAGATGCTGTAATTGATTTGCTGAATACAAATATTCTTATGCCAGTTAAGAGTTCAGATCTATTAGGCTTGCTTAATCCAATCTGGTCAGGAAAGGAGATTCTGTTTCTTATTCCATCAGAAATATAATAGGCAGATATGGAGGAAAGCATCTTATCTCGGGCAGCATTTAAGTTAGGACACTATCCACTCCAGGGAACCCATATGCAAACAGAAATCCTTATTCTATCGGGTCTGTAGTATTACTGACCTTTGCATTCCCTTGATTCCCTTGTGGCCTTTTAAATATTTTTGTCTGGTATTATTATATTTTATGATTTAGCCTTACATTAATTTTTCTTCCAACCTTAGTACAAGGGACTTGGGGGAGGGGGATATACAAACATGTATTTCGTGCACATTAATTGATCTTACTTGCTTGTGTGAATCCTTATGTAGCTGAAATTACATTAATCCATCAAGTGTCATATCAGACCCAGAGGAACTCCAAAAAACAGGAGACAGAAAATTCAAACAATCCAAGTGGGGAAGATTTTTTAAAGGATGATTTAAACTGGATAACCAGTCCCTGTCCTCTGTAAGCAGCTTTCAGATAGAGAATATGCAATATCCCAAACATTCTACAGTGCAATAAAATAATTTTGTGAATCCTGTGAGTTTCTGGCTAAATTCATCCTTTTTCCCATTTAGGTTCTAAAGTGGCCAGAACTGAAGGCAAATGGCGAGTTGCTGACAGACGTCTTGGTGAACAACGTGGTCACAGATCCCACTTTCACATACCTGGTCGCGCTGACTGATGTCAATATTGCCGCAATATGGAAGAAGGCCTAGCTGTGCTGGCCTGGCCTGGAAGAAGCAGCCCCATTTTCTCAACCCCATTTCAGTAGTGCAGTATTTGTGACTGTTCGGAGAATAATCAGGGTGGGGTGGGGGAGGGATGGGGATTGGTGGGGATGAAATTCATATATATCAATGCAAGAAAATCAACCAAAGGTATTGGCTGGAACTCCGTGTTGTTATTGCCAATGCCGACATCTCTTAACTGTGACTTTGCTTTATTGGTGTCTTAAGTGTATTTGTTTTATAGGACAGTATTTAATAAAACTTGATACAACACAACTGAAGCACTTTTTAAAAAATTATGTTAAATGCATTTACTTAGGTCCATACCTTGAAGGATCAGGAGAAAATTGCCTTTCCAAGGTTGCAATATGCAGGCAGGGCTATTGAACTCATTGAGAAGAAATATTCATGGTTTGAATGTAAAGTAGCATGGACTTGACAAGGATAGTTTCATTCTGGCAATTGCCATAAGAAAGCAGATTACCCTTAGAACAAATTGCAAGAATGGGTGGGAAGACTGAGAACCTCATTGAGCAGACGTGCTGTTTCATAAGGTAGGAACATAAGTAAATTCAAGTTCATGTTTTCTTCATAGTCTCACCCCTGGCATGATTAACTTTGTCTACTTTATCTACACTTAAGAAATAATGGCAGTTCTGCAATGCATCTCCTACTCCTTCCTCCAGGGATACGCTGAGGCACAGACTTGGGAAAGCATGGTGCATCAACTTGAAGTGGCTGCCAAGGGAGTAGGCTGAAGGATTCACACATCAACATTTTTTTTAAAAAATGACCAGAATATTTTATCATCCTGCCCACATTTGCAGAACATATAATAATCAGTACTACTGTCTAAGCTAGAAAAGGCACTTCATAATCAATGTAGCCGTTTAATTTGGATGACTGGATGATTTTTCTTGTGGGGAGGAGTTCTGAGTAGATACATTACCCCTCAACAATCACCATTTTAATAAGAATTTTCTTCCAAAGTTTTGCCCTCCTTCAACAGAAAGGCAAGTGGTAAGTGCAAAAATTAAACATGCATAATGTGAATTTGAACCAGCAGTACAGTATGGCTGCTAAAGGGGAAAAAAAAAACCCCAAACCTCACTCAATTCAGAGCTGCATGAAGAGAGGTAATGTGAGAAGTAAGACTTTCTTACTCATCTGAGTGAGTTTCTGGTACTGCATCTAATATAGAATGCTATGTTTTAAAAGAGGTTCGGCAGACTAGAGCCTGTGATGGGGGCAATTAGAACGCTTGTGGTTTTGCAACCACTTAAACATTAATATAGGATTTAATTTATGAGAGACAATTTCTGTGCCAACAAATACTGAAAACTGTCCCACTCTAAGCTAAAGAAAACTTCAGTAGGAAATTGTACATACACATAGAGCTTTCCCTTTATAGTTTAAAAAGCGCAGTCTTAACAGTGAGGCAAAGAAGGATTATAACTTCAGGAAGGGGAGTGAAAACAATCATACATCTGAGGAAAAATCAAGTATTTCTAATTAAAATGGAAAGCACACAGTTTTATAGGAAGTAATTCTCAACACCAACTATTTTAACATGTTTCTGCTGACGTTATGAATCACTTCAAAAGAGCAACACAATTAAAAAGTATAATTTATTAGCTATCACGTAAGCCAATATGATCTTTCATGTAAGTGACTTATACTGAAATTTCTTAGAGGCTGTGAAGTAACAAAGTCATCATAAATACATTTCTTGTAGACTAGTACAATGAAAAATGAATTTTATTTACAAATATATTTGATAAACATAACTACTACTCAATTCCTTCTTGTTTGTCTTTGATGGCAACCTAAGAGAAAAATAAACACATGGTAACTGAAAAGTAAAAAAATAAAAGTCTGACAATTTCATTTAAGGTTTGATTATAAAAATACAGTTCAGCGATAAGTAGAGTTTCCCTTCTTGTTGCAGAAAAGAGCTGCCATTACTCCAGGTCTATCTGAACTTCAAACTAGCTAATCCTAGCCAGACTGAATCAATTATCCCACCACCATAAATGGACACATTGGTGCATTCAGAATTATCAAAGAAGATGCAGAACTTGTCTTATACATGTGATTTCTCTCACCCTTCACAGCAAACCAAGCCAGCTGAAAGGTCAACATAACTTTAAAAATGCCGTCTTTCTCTGTACCTAATTATTCAATGGCAAGCCCCATTACCACCAGAAACACAATTTGATGGAAATGTCACAAAGGACATTCTTGGTTAGGGTAACCAGAATATAAAACTCCCTACCATAGAAGATCCAGAAGATTTCCACACTAGTTTCTGATGTTTGACAACTATGTGACTTTATTTGCCCAGAACTCACATATTAGAGGTGGGGACAGATGATGAATCTTGGAACCTATTCAGATTGAAAAGTATTAACAAGCAATTTTCTTGATCTCTTATTATTCTCTAACAACTACATACCTGAATATCTAATAGGTGATAATTTCCAGCTTCTGCCTCCCCAGAAGGATGCTTAACCTGCCTCAATTTCAAGTTTCAATTTCTAGTCTTTTTTCCCCACCATCTTTATTCCACTGTTACAGTATTAAGCACCAAACTCCACCTTGCTCTAAGGGAAGTTGCACAGTTAACGCACCCAATGAAACTAAACATATATTTAAAAGAGCTGAAATGTCTCACCTAATTCATAGACACAGGCTTTAGGCTTTATCACTTTGCCTTTGACAAGCAGCCCGCTGCCCCCAAAACCGCATGACTGTTAGGATGTGCTGACTTACCCGGAATCTCTCCTCAAGGAGAGAAAGCTCACTGATAAGATCTGTGATTGCATTGGTGAAAGCTTCTTGGGGGCTGTAATCAGGAGTGGTCTGAACACGAATGATTATTTTATGTTCAAGGGGATGGGGGACTTTGTATCCTGCAAATAGCACTTGAGGATCTTTCAACAATTGCCTGGGGAAAAACAAACAGATTTATTGTTAAAATTATAACTGGGTGAATATTATAAATTATAGCTGGATGACTAAGGTCCAATTAATCTAGTTCATTTCCAAGACAGCTTTGGAACCATACAAAAAGAATATGAAGACATCTATTTCTTGTTGCTTGTTTTTAACAACTAGAAAAGAAAGTTTCTGTTTAGTAACTGGCCAATGGCAATTGATTGAGCTCTTTCCTATATGTTACTTACACTGTGCATATGTTTGCACTGAGCACTGACTCCTTCATAGCCAAAATAGCTCCATCTATCCATTAGGAAAAGATAACCACTAGTACTGAAAAATCCCAGCAACTTACAACAGTCTACAAAATTTCAGGGGGAAAAATCCATGTAGAAAAGAAAAAGAGAGACAAAACCACTCAATAAGGTTATGCTCAATGTGGTGATTAAACATGAAAGGTTTTATCATATTATGGAATGGAGAATTCTGGAAAGGAAATTAAGCTAGCGGGAAGTTTAAATATACTATACCCTGCATCTCTGTGTTGTAGATTTAAATTACACCACCTCCCCCTAAAATGGTCTGTTAAACCAAGGGGTTACTTGCGAGTAGACTGGGTAGGGATACTGAAAACCTTACCATCTTTTCTGCATTTTCTTGGCAGTTAACCAATTTAATCATATTGCTTTCTTAAATCAACTCATCAACTTTGTTTTGTAAGAACAAGAGTCACTGCTACTCACGACTTAATTATATTCCCAAGAGTGTGATCTTCTTTGTTGATTGTAAACAGACAAGCATTTGGCACTTTTGTGTCCTTATTTATTGTAATCCTGGAATGAGAAAGACCAGAAAAAAAAAGGAGGGTGTTCATATTAACACCAGCTTGTAGAGTCTTCCCTTATAAGAACGTTACAACTGTCTTATATAAACCTAGAACATTATGTTAATCCAGCCCTAAACAGCTCATGCTAGCAGATCACAACTTCCAAGGACTTTGACAGGAACTTTTGAAGACTTACCTAGAAATTAAACATGGCCCTTTTCCATGGAAACCCTAATTCTAATCCTCTCTTTATTATGAGTACATAAAGCTACCTTAACACCAACCTGAATTTGCTTTACAGCTATTTCAGAGTGGAAGCAGCTCTTAGAGTCTGTCGAAAATCTTTTATTCATTAGATACATATCTACTTTTCAGTGTTTTCAATCACTGCAGCTTTTCAAGGCAGTGTCCATGGCATTCCTTCCTCCATTTTTTCTCTGCAACCCTCCCTATGTGATAGGCTGGCTGAGAAAGAGGAACTGGCCCAAAGTCTCCCAAGGAGCTTCCATGGCTGAGGGGGATTAGAACCTGGGTCTCCTCACTCTGAGTCCAACATTTTAATCACTATATCACAATGGCTCTCTTTTAAATAAAGATAAGGAAATAGACACTGTGCTTGGTTGCAAAGATGTGACGAATTCGTTTATAATATTTTTTACCCCAATTTCCTACTAGAAAGTACTCTAATTAAAAGGTATGATCCTTAGTACATAGGAAACTGCCTTAGAGGAGGTCAATCTATATGTTTATTTGGGGACAAACAAAATCCAGCAGGTCCTAAAACCTGGCCAAAATAAATCAACATACACCAAGCCATAATACACAAATTATACTCCAAAACACACACAACAGAATTACAAAATTAGAATAGTCATGCCAAATATGTAACAAAGGAGGAAATCAGAAAGATATGCAAAAGAAATACACGTGTTCACAAATCACCAAGAAGCTAATGGATGAAATAAATATGAAGGAATGAAATAAATATGGAAAATAATTACACATATAAATCTCCAAGAGGCCGTGTGCCAGTGAGCAAGTTGATGAGCTCTTAGATTTGTATATGTGTTTTCATACCCCAGTATCTCTAGTCAGGTGACAGCATGTAGCTAAGCTTGCCTGCTCACAAAAAATTAAGTGGGGCTGGACCCGATTAGCATTTGATGAGAGAAATTTTAGAGCTACCGGCTAGACTGGCAAGTGAAAGGAAATAAAAGTTCTGGAAGAATTCAATGACAAAACATCTGTACTGTTTGAAGAACATTATACAGGTGGGCTCACGAAGTCAACAGGAGATGAGATCGACTCTGAAAGCTTTTTAAAAAACCTAGTATGATCGTATTCACAGGCAGTGATCTTTCAAGATCTCGATTAGTTTAACTCAGAAGTGCCAAAAGTGAAGCTTGGGGGCTCCTTCTGGCAAAAAAAAACAAACAAACACGGCCTAGTATTTTTGGTTAGATTTCTATCCCACCTAGAGGCAGGCGGTTGTTGCGAGCCGCCTCGGATCCCTGGGTGGGAAGGGCGGCCACGTAAGTTCTTCAAATGAATGAAGAAAATCTTTCTTCAGGAGCTCATGGCAGCACGAACAGCCCTCCCGCTCCATTTGCTTTCCCCATAACCACCACCCTAGGCGGCAGGTTAGACTGAGACGCAGGAACCGGCCTAGATTGTCGCCCGCCCTCCCAACCAGGAGGGTCGGTTTTGACTGCCCCCCCCCACCCCTCTTCCCTCTCCCACTGACTTTTTCTCCCCCTCGAAAAGCAAAAAGGACTCGAAGGCCGGAGGGGCGTTCATCCTCCCCACTTCCTCCTCGCGGGCCCCGCTTCAGCGAAGCAGCCACTTCCGGGAGAAAGACATTTCCGGTGTCAAATTTATTCTTCTCTTTCCGAGTTCAGGTTCCCTCTGCTCGAAGCTGACAATGAGGCGCCCGTGCGCCACCCAGCGGCAAGGAGGAAGAAGTGCTCCGTCGCGCTTCCAGCAGCTCTTTGACTTCTCCCAAGAGTCAAGTGGGCCTTAGGAAGCATTACTAACAACAAAGCTAGTGGAGATGACAGTATTCCAGCTGAGTTATTTAAAATACTAAAAGGAGCCGGAATTAAGATTGCAGGGAGAAACATCAACAACCTCAGATATGCAGATGATACCACCCTAATGGCAGAAGGTAAAGAAGAACTAAAGACCAGCCGGAATTAAGATTGCAGGGAGAAACATCAACAACCTCAGATATGCAGATGATACCACCCTAATGGCAGAAGGTAAAGAAGAACTAAAGACCAGCCGGAATTAAGATTGCAGGGAGAAACATCAACAACCTCAGATATGCAGATGATACCACCCTAATGGCAGAAGGTAAAGAAGAACTAAAGACCAGCCGGAATTAAGATTGCAGGGAGAAACATCAACAACCTCAGATATGCAGATGATACCACCCTAATGGCAGAAGGTAAAGAAGAACTAAAGACCAGCCGGAATTAAGATTGCAGGGAGAAACATCAACAACCTCAGATATGCAGATGATACCACCCTAATGGCAGAAGGTAAAGAAGAACTAAAGACCAGCCGGAATTAAGATTGCAGGGAGAAACATCAACAACCTCAGATATGCAGATGATACCACCCTAATGGCAGAAGGTAAAGAAGAACTAAAGACCAGCCGGAATTAAGATTGCAGGGAGAAACATCAACAACCTCAGCATGAAACTGAGCAAACTCAGGGAGGCAGTGAAGGACAGGAAGGCTTGGTGCAATATGGTTCATGCGGTCACGAAGAGTCGGCCACGACTTAACGACTGAACAACAACAACAAGAGGCTGTGTTTTGGGACCCCCTAGTGGGAATCTATGAGAGCCGCTTTGGTGTGCAGCAGTGGTTAAGGCACTGGGCTGGAAACCAGGAGGGCGGGAGTTCTAGTCCTGCTTTAGGCACGGAGCCGGCTGGGTGACTTTGGACCAGTCACTCTCTCTTTCAGCCCTAGGAAGGAGGCAAGGATAGACTACTTCTGAAATCTTGCTAAAAAAGCCTGCAGGGACTAGGCCAGATAAATAAAGTGGGAATCTAGCAGTATCTCAGGTTTCTGCCACTAACTCTGTTAACCACTCAATGAAAAGGGTGAGATTTTGCAACTAGCATGGATTTTGGTTGAATATTTAACTTCCATCCTTCACGGGGACCAGAGTCCAAGTCAAGATGGGTTAGAATGAAATGGAAGCCTACAGACCCTTACTTAGCAAACCCCATTGAAAGTTGGGTTTGTCTCTAACTAAACCTATGTGGTAAGGAACTGTAGAACTGCCATTTTATCAGGAGAACCTGATTTTGAGAAAACACGGGGAGGACGATCACAGGGGCTTGCAGTCACCAACCTTATTGCTAGATTTCTGAGTTTGCACAATACTGTAGACTGAACTGTGTTGGGTATGTTTTGCCCGGGGAAGAGAACGCTGCGGGATGCCATTATAGCTGTTTTCAAGTATCTGAAGAGCTGCCTTGTAAAAAAATGGGGCAGAATAATTCAGAGTTCTTCCAAAAGATAGGATGAGAAACGGTGGGTTTAAATGACAAGGATGTAGATTTTGATTGGGTATCAGGGAGAATTCCTAATGAGAAGAACTGTGCAACAATGCAACAGGTTACCGCAAAAGGCAGTAGGCTCCTCTGTCCTGGAGGTGTTTAAACAGAGGCCAGATGATTGGACTAGATCAGTGTTTCTCAACCTTGGCAACTTTAAGATGCATGGACTTCAACTCCCAGAATTCCCCAGCCAGCATGCTCAAAGATCCCTTCCATTTTATGATTCCATTTAACTAATTGGCTGAGTTTGGCCAAATACTAAGCAACACAAAACTAGCCAAGGTTGACAGTAAACAAGCTTAACATGGGACCCATCTGCGAAGTTGCAACTAATCTGGATAAGCTTTTAGTGCAATCCCAGCTAGAAGTGTGGGCTGTTGCACCAGAAACAAAAAATGCTGTTGCTGAAGGCTGAGTTGCTGGGTTGAGTGTGTGTTACAGTCTTCTGCCTAAGCCAGGGGAGGGGTTTCCCATGTTCTTTGGGGGGTGACAGTGTATCCATGATCACTTCCCCAAGCACTGATAGTCTCTCTGTCCATTTGACTTTTAAACATTAGAAAAAAATATATTTTAATGTTTTGTGAAAGAAAGGGACACCCAGCATTCTTCAAAGCAAAGCATCATTCTCTAATCTGATGGCAGCAACATTGGAGTTAATTGATAGAGTTAGAGACAGACTGGGGTCATAAACTATTGAACTTGCACCCCTCAACAGAACATGCCAACAAGCTCTG